TAAATAAATAAATAAATAAATAAATAAATGTGTGTAAATTGACTGAATTTGTGCAAATTTATATTTAATTGTGGAAAATTATGCAAAAAAATGTCAAAAGAAAAAAGAACTGAGAGACTATAACTTCGGAAGGTGTGGTTTGCTAAATAAAACAATTCTTTAAAGAGAATAAACTAAAAATTCCAAATTTTATGAATTTATGCTATACGTTTTACACATTTACAAAAGGAGTAATGTATCTTCAGACAGGAGCATAAGTAAGGGATAAAGTTGGTTTGAGAGGGTTGGAGTCCAGGCTTAGGGGAAATATAGTTTTATTTTTAAGACATGAGCCAAACGTGGTAACCTTGTTATTTTTTATTTCTCTCAGGGCGCAAAGTGCTTTTTTTCCTACACAATTCTCGTATGGGTTTATAGAGAAATAGGGCAAAGTGTCAATTTTGCTGTTAATTTTGAAAAGCTAAAATCATGACTCGAATATGCAAAAGATTTTTCAGCACAATGAAGACCTGCTAAGATGATGAAAGTGGTTGAAGGAGATACTGGTCTGTGTGCATACAGCATACACAGTGAAATCATAATAAAAAGAAAATAATGTTCAATTTCATACATACGTCGAAGATTGACAAATGTTAGGATAACATCGTTGGGTTAAATACAAAACTGGTTAATACCTTAAGGGCACTCAGTTGTAACTACTGAGGTTATCTGTTCCAATGGACACAACTCGCTTCCAGTATCTATTGGACGAAATAGCTAACAGTTAACACCAGCCTCTCAGGTAGAAAATGTGCTGCGTCAATAGAAAGTGAAGCCAAGCACTGCACTGCAATAATATCCAGTAACCTGTGCTGTCCTTACCCAAGTTTTGTGTAACGTTTCTGGCCGTGCAGCATGCTTTGTTTCCCCTATTCTCGTGTGCAAGGTTTATGGAACTCAGGCAAAGTAGCAGTTTTGCCTCCCTTCACAAACCACAAGCGTTAACAGGGATCATCCCAGCGGTGGAAATTTGGGAGATTCAGCGTTTCTTTTGCATATCAAGATTTTTCAGGACAGGTCCTGTGTGTGCTTTAACATGTCGCCCCGAGTTTTAGACAGAATATTGAAAGGCAGTTCGTCTCCAAACCTCTCACCGAACAGTCCCCGCCAGTGCTGGGCTCCTCCGGGACAAAGGCCAGGCCTCGGGCCAGAAGCCTGGGCCCCCAATCCCGCCTCCCTTCAGCTCCCTGTCTTCACCACGCTCAGGAGCTGCAGGTTCTGCGAGCAAGCAGCTCAGCAGCCCGAGCCGAAGTTTCTGCTCCAGACGCTGCAGGGCTCGGGCACCCAGGCTGCCTCCGCGGTCACGTGGGCCCACGGCGGCTCACGTGACCACGCTCAACGCTTGGGCGGGCCTCCAGGTAGGTCGCACGCAAACGAGACAGGAAGGGCTTACACCTGACCATAGACAGACAGCCGCGGGAGGGGTGCTAGGATGCTAGGGTGGGTGTCTCGCCATGCCGCACTAGCCTGAAAACTAGTCTCTCAGGCGGCCAGAGCCACAGCATTTGTTGGTAGAGGAAACAAGCCCGCAGCCAGTCGCGAGCGCGTTAGCAGGGTCTGCTGTTGTCCCGGAGCTCAAGAGGCAGCAAGTCATCCTGCGGGAGGCACACGTGGAGAGAAGGAGGCGATCGCTCGCTCGCTGGCGGACCAGGTGGGTGCGAGGCCTGGAAATGGCATCCGCGGGAGGGGGTGGCTGAGACTAGATCCCGGTGCAGGAAGGAAGTGCCTGGGACCCTCCGGCTCCCTCCTGCCTTCTGAACGCCCCCGACCTCCCCAACCCCCTCCCCCCACAGGCTCCCCGCCCGGGGCCGCTTGAGTCTGTGTTCCTAGGTGGGGGTGGGGGAGGTGGACACATGGAGGGAGTCGGCTTCAGGGGAGACCAGAGAGAGGAAGCGGCCAAGTGACCTTCGTGGACACCCAA